ACAATGAGATCAGATGCTCTGATTAGGCTTTGAATGGGGTGACGGTAGAAGAGTTTTATTATTTTAGGCTGAGCGAAATATTTCTTTGTATTGAATCATTCTGGTCGTGAACGAAGATTTCCGTGAAAACTGGTTGAAAAGCGAAAATAAGCTTACCATCAAAGCAGATTTTGTGTGTGTGTGTTTTTTTTTTATATCAGCGAGCTGTCTGAACCCCTAGGGATGTTTTAGGCTTCCTAACCTTTAGGAATCTTTTAATAAAATCTGAAACTGGAAGTGGTGAACTGGATGTTAGCCGAAGGACAAACATTTTCACATTATAACATAAGAGAACGCTTGCGAAGCAGAGCTGTACAACCAGCGATAGCATTCACGGCGTTTGGATTTTGTATACTTTGTGTGAGTGATGACAACGCGTTCCTACGCAACTTTATTTTGGGGAGTTTGGAGGTTACACTGTTAAATTTACAATCCGTGTCCTTCTGTGCGGAAACGCAGTGTGCATTTCATTTTATAACTTATGGCATTCACAAAGTCACAGTAGATCGCATTAAGCAAGGCCGGTACAATCTGTACGGTACTTTCGGTCATATTTTCATCTAATTTTATACGTTACTGTCCGGAGGGGGTACGTCTTATGAGGATGAAAACATTGGACGACTTTTACAGGGCACTTTACAGCCCTCTTAGTATTAGCAAAAGGCTAGTAACTGAATTTTGTGCGACTTGTGTTTTTCTACATGAGAAAACAGATTCTGGATGGGTTTAGTATAGGTTCAGTCCTCGGTTACTTCTGTAAGTTTGGGAAATGGGGCTCACGTATCTTGAGTACATTCTGATTTAGAGGGGCTAGTGGACAATGAAACGATGATCGTTTGGAGTAGCGGTTGGGTTTAGTCCTCGGCGAGACTATAGCGTTTCAATCTTGAGAAAGGTACTTCGCTCGCGTTCCTCCAGTGAAACACCAGCTGTGCAGATAGGGTGCTGTCTATAAGTGAGCAAGTCGCTTCGTATAAACCACAAAGGAGCAGGTACAGGTTTATACCACACTGAAAAGAAGAGTCACAACGTTTTCTATTTCCTTTCAGCGTGGAATAAACCTAACTTCTTCCTTTTCAGCCTATGCATGTTGACGCAGCTAACTACTTGAATAGAACTGTTCAGTTACTAGATTAGCTACTAACTTCAATAGTGTTATCAGTTAACCCGTGGCTATTTCATCCCCTTTGAGAACTGCAGTAATTTCAGTAGCTTATCATCAGTATCCCCATCATCTTTATTAATAGTTTAAGGTCAAATGACAGAAGAAATGACAAAACCCTGGTTTCCCCCAGCCTTCTGTCGGACAGGCTGAATATTTATATAATTCCACAGGTCTCTGCTGAAGCTAGAGTATTCTGAGGTTAGTTTTAATCAGGGTTTTAATGATTTCCTAGAAACACTTTTAAAGCAACTGGGGTCAAAAGAAATCCACAACTGCCACTCCAAATGAAATTCAGCGGGCACCTTTTATTCCTGGACACCCAGTCGCACAACTCACCCTGCTGAAATGCTACACAAAACGTAACACTGCTACCCGCTGGTGCCCAGATTGGCGTCATTAGTGAGGCATCACTGCAGAAATCCAAACTGAAGAAAAAAAGGCATAGCTGCCTGACTCCAGTGTTCTTGTAAGACATAAACATCACGCTAGCCTTCAGCTGAGCTTTGTTGAATGTGTTGAGATTTGGGGATTTGGGGTGTGGGGGGAGGGTCAGGCTCCATTGAAGTCATTGTGGTTTTGATTAATTTAACGACTAACAGTTCCTTGTGTTTCTGTTTTATTAGAACTTAAAGATGATTGCGGCAGGAGGAGTTCAATTAGAACGCGCTGTTTGAATTGTTGTTTTTTTATTGTAACGAGTTTAATTAAAAACTGGTTGGCCTGGGAAAACAGCCTCACGGAAGCCAGCCTGCGCTGAAAGTTTCCTGTTAGCCAGGGAAGGCACTGAACTGACTCGCAGCCAGCGCACATTATAGCAGTGAGCAATAGCAATGGCCTGTCATTGCCAGTCATCATTCTGCAAGCATTTTCATCCATCCATCCATCTGGGGTGGGCAGACAGGCAGTGTACTTCTGAGCTGGCTGTACGAGGTTTATAGCTGCCCACCACAGTCTGCCACACAATGTTTATCTCTTCTGTACAAGGGGGTCTGTCTTGCCAGCGTTGCAATGAGGACAATTTTCCATGATTTAACATTCCTATGAGATAGCGAGCATTAAGTCCGTGCATTGCCAAACATCCCATTTTTTAAAACAAAGCAAATCAAAGAGATGCTTTCTTTCCTTAAAAGTTAAAATGCTTCTTTAATTGCTCAAACTTTGGAGAAAGTTCTAACTGGCGGAGTGAAGAATGTGGGTTCCTGATGACCTGGAATGAAGAAAAAGTTTGATTTCAACATAAAGAGCCCAAAAGACAAGAACACGGACAGGTTTTGAAAAGGTTCTGTAGTTCAGCGTGCGCGCACACTGCAGTAGGGTTCCTCTGTGATGCCTGCTCTACAGAATCCTTTCCACATGCCTTTCATTGTAAATGAACTGGCTGTGCATGACAACAAGTGTGGCAGTTGTCAACAGCTGAAGGACACTGGGCATGCATACTGCATTTGTGAGTCATTAATGCACTAAGGGCTGTAAGTATTATAACACAAAAAATCCCCTGAAATGTGTCACAGCCTTTGCAATGTCTTTCAGTACCCCAGCTTGTAATTAGTGGTTATTGTCAACTGACAATTCAAAACAAACACATGCCTTGCCTCTGGTATTGCTGGCTCGCTGCTTCAGTGCCGATATTTATTTCGTTTGGCCGACGGGACCCGGGTATGAAACTGTACCGGGGGGACGGACGCTGTTTTAGAACAATATACTGTTGTGAGCATGTGACCTGGCAACACTTGACAGCTCCACTGGAGATGTCATGATAACGGAGGCGCTGCCCTCTGGGATTGTTCTCAGCGCAGCACAAGGAAGACAATTAAAACCAGCTCACCGGGCGCTGGGAGGAGAGCGGGCTCGGATTGCAGCGTCCCAGGGCTGCAGGCCTGCCGGCTTTCTTTTTTCGCTCATCCCTCGGAAAATACCGTTTGACTAGATAACCGGCACCGCGCTGGAGCAACGGTTCTATTCCTCCTTTCATCAGGCCTGGCCCGAGCCCTTATCTTTGCTCATCGGTTTGGTGCCCCTGTTTTAATTTAGGGCGCCACACTCTGAAAAGCATTAAGCGAATGCAATGAAGCAAACACTCTAGTGAGTTAGTGATTATTCTTCCATTGCTCCGGACTTATCGACGGTCAGTCAATGCGCCCCTGACCACTGTGGCCAGCAAGGCATGACCGGGAGGACTGCGCACATATAATAATAATAATAATAATAATAATAATAATAATAATAATAATAATAATAATTCCTTACACTTATATAGTACTTTAATGGACACTCCACTCAAAGCTCTTTACAGGTAATGGGGACTCTCTTCCACCCCCACCAGTGTGCAGCCCCACCTGGTGCTCCAGTACACTCACCCCACACCAGCTCTCAGTGGGGAGGAGAACAGAGTGATGAAGCCAGATCAGTGATATTATTAGGAGGCCATGATTGGTAAGGGCCAATGGGAAATTTGGCCAGGACGCCGGGGTTACACCCCTACTCTTTTTGAGAAACGCCCTGGGATTTTTAATGAACACAGAGAGTCAGGACCTCGGTTTTACATCTCATCCAAAGGACAGCATCTTCTTACAGTATAGAGTCTCCGTCACATGTGTGTCCAGAGTGAGCTCTGCCCCACAGCGCCCACGGCCAGGTGAGGCTCTGCTCAGCTCAGGAGGCTCACGGTGACAAGGGGGGGCTGCCCCAGCCGCACCCGAACACTTTTCTGATAATGTAACTGTGAACTGTGAAGAGAGCTCAACCAGCCGAACAAACACAATGCCGCCCGGGGACACTGTGTGGGCGCATAAGCTATTTTTCTTTAGCAGCAGCCCTAAAAATACATATTTTCAAGGACACTGGGAAGCTTCAAGCCGATATGTCAGTAAAAACAAAATTACATGCTTGACTCATAGCTGTGAGCTGGCCATGTCTACCCTACACTCTGAACAGCTGGCATAACTCTCTGAGCCATTCTGGGAACCTCCTGTCTGTAACGCAAACTGGAGGAACACCTAAAACATGCATCGCAGTGCAGTTACGGTCTCGAAGACCAGTCTGGTTCCATTATCACGAAAATCAAGATGAACTACCAACCCAACTGTTAATGAACAAAAACCAGTAAAAACAAAAAACTTGGCAGGGCAGCATAACCTTGAAGTTTCATCAAAATCGAATTGTGAGAGTATAACAACCCCATCCTCACTGCGCGTGCAAATTGTACATTTCTGGACACTCAGATCTACCGGTTTAACCAGAAATCTCCAATATTGGATCAGTTTTCGATTACAACAGAAACGTCAGGGGGAAAGGCTGATTGCTCCAGACGTGGCTTCGCCGATAAACTCCCGACTTGCGATAGCTGGTCTGTCATTACCCTGCTTTCTGCGCCTTGACTGCCGCTCCTCCAATCTGAGGCACTTACAGTGGCGTCACCTAAACTAGGACAGTACGGAAACGCTGCACAAAGCAGATCCGGCTTAATTGTGTTTATCGGCTTGCGAGGGGGAAATGAAAGGGAACAGGACCCACGAAGAAACCCACAAAATAAACAGGCGCTGGTTAAAGACTCACTCTGAGCTAATCAGGGTTCCTGGAAGCTCAGGCAGGGCTGAGAATGGCGGGGTTATTTTGGGCAGGGAATTGCTCCACTTAGGGGAAGATGCAGGCAGCAAGCACTGTAGCGCAAACCGGTACGGGCTCCAGGTGGCGCAGTAGGTGTCCGCCGCTGGGTAAGGTTTTGGAATGTCACAGCACTCTGAGTGACCACAGCGCGCCGCCTCATCTGAATCATCCTCTTTGTTGTTCATCGCAGGAGGAAGCTCGCTACGGATCCAGCCCCCTGGCCATGTTAACCGCTACCTGCAACAAGTTCGGGAGCTCCAGTCCGGTCAGGGATTCGGCCACTCCGGGGAAAACGGGAAATAACGCTCCGGGCAAGAAAGCGTACAGCCTCAGCTCCGACCTCCAGCCCCCCAAGAACAGCCGGGGCTCCGACGGGATGGGAGACTCCTACTCGGGCTCCTTCAGCACGGGCAACGGGCTCCTGACCCCCACGGGCAGCCCCCCGCCCTCCGGCGGCTACGGGGCCGATTACAACCCCTTCTCCCACTCCTTCCAGGCGTCCTCCGGCTCTCAGGACCCCTCCCTCCTGGCGTCCAAAGCCCACGCCTCGGCCGACTGCCTCACCAGCGTGTACACCTCCCTGGACATGGCCCACCCTTACGGCTCCTGGTACAAAGCCGGCATCCACCCGGGCATCACGACCGCCCCCGCCAACGCCACCTCCTCCTGGTGGGACGTGCACCCCAACACCAACTGGCTGAGCGCCGCCCAGACCCAGCCAGAGGGTCTGCAGGCCTCCCTGCAGCCCGTCCCCCCCCAGGCCTCGCTGAGCCCCCAGCTCCCCAGCTACACGTCCGAGTTCACCTCCCTGAACCCCGCGCCGTACCCCGCCGTGGGACTGGGCACGTCGTCTCACCTGCTGCCCTCCGGCCAGCACATGCTCCCCCAGGACATGTACAAACCGAAGCCCGTGCCCAGCGGCTCGCTGATGGAGAACCCCATGGGGCTGAAGCCGACGCGGGGGTCGGGGTACGGGGGCGCCGCCCCGGGCCGCTCCTCCTGCGACTGCCCCAACTGCCAGGAGCTGGAGCGGCTGGGGGCCTCGGCCGCCAGCCTCCGCAAGAAGCCCGTGCACAGCTGCCACATCCCGGGCTGCGGCAAGGTCTACGGCAAGGCCTCGCACCTCAAGGCCCACCTGCGCTGGCACACGGGCGAGCGCCCCTTCGTCTGCAACTGGCTCTTCTGCGGCAAGCGCTTCACCCGCTCCGACGAGCTGGAGCGCCACGTGCGCACCCACACGCGGGAGAAGAAGTTCACCTGCCTGCTCTGCAACAAGCGCTTCACCCGCAGCGACCACCTCAGCAAGCACCAGAAGACCCACGCCGAGGGCGCGCTGCCGGGCAAGGCCGGCGGGGAGGGCGAGGCCGAGCGGGAGGAGCCCAGCGGGGGCACCTCCCCGCCCGCCAACGGCGTGGCCGAGCCCGGAGTGGCCAACGGGGAGGAGAAGAGCGCGGCGGCGGGGAACGGCTCCGAGCCCGGGACCGGCCTCCTGGAGATCTGAGCCCGCTCGGCGCACCGGGTCTGGCGCCAACGAGGGAGTTCGGCTTTTCATACTACAACCAGAGCTACGTTGGAGGACGTGTACCGAGCAAGCCAGAGTCCACACAGAGCAACGGGCAGCCTGTCTGTCGCCCCTCTCCAGCCCGTGCTTTGTTTACCACCCCGGTCTGGCGCTCCGAGAGAAACTGGGCCGACGGGAGTGACACGCCGTTCCCCCCGGCGACGCTCAGGTTACGCTCTCCAGCCGACATCCCCGCCAAACACGACCAAAGAAGCGCGCCCCACAATTCCCACTCGCTCACTCACCAGCAACGCCTTCACACATCGCAGTGGGGGCTCACGGGCCCCCGGCGCTGCCAGAGCTCACGCAGTCTTTTAATGCTGGTGTTATTAGGAACAGCTTTCTAATTAAGTAACCTCGGAGTAAATTAAAAACATACTTCTGTGAAGGCAACTCAGAAATATGTTATAGACTCTGAACAAAGCTCACGGCCATTTTTGTTCAGGGGAAAAGGCGGCTATGGGAACGTTCTGGAGTACCGCTCCCTGTGAAAATCTCCCCCCCCCCAGCCGGGAAGTCCTCTCCTCTCTGTCCTGTGCCATGAGACTGTGATGCTGGATGAGAGGATTTCCCCCATATAAGGTGTCATGGCGGTAAGGTAGGACATCGGACTCTGTGCTCTGTGAAATTCACTGGGGCAACACTTGCAACCTAGTCCACTTCAGCTGTCTTTTGTCCTGGACATCCATGAAACTATGGCAACTGCTTCTGCCTTCATCAGCGATGAACTCCCCACCCCCCAGAAAATACGTACAGTTCAAGCCTTCTGTGTAAGTGTAAGAGCAAAAGAAAGATTAGAATCGAGAGCCATTTAGCCCCTTTAACTTATTTGGATGCCAGGTAACTATTGGTACAAGGATCTTGTCCATCCTTTCCTTTGATGGAACCCTGGGCTTCAGTTTTGGCAACATGGCTGGGTAGCTTGTTCCACCCCCCCGCAACCCTTGAAGTACCTCCTCTTCCCACAGATAACCTTGGTCAAGTAATGTTAAAGTCTGCTACAGACCACTTTCGGTGAACAAAAGGACACAGGATTTCCAAAACACACACAAGAACTTCTCAGCCCTAATGTTGAGGATCCCTGACACTTCAGATCCAGTACGGGACAGCAGATGTTCGACAAAAGGGGTTTCACAGAGGAGTGGACAGAGAGAGAACACAGTCATTTAAAACCATTATCCGAAGAACATACAACATCAGACAGGTGAAGAGATCTCAGCATGGGACAAGTCAGTCATTTTCCAATGGACATAATAACATTCCTCTTGATTATTCAGGACTAAAATGAGTTCACTGAGCATCTTTTGACAGTGTGAGGGTGGTGTGAAGTCACCCTGAATGCGTGCCTTTGTGTGAATGTGTGTCTCTTTCAACTTCCTTTTTTTAATTTAATTTTTGAGAAAAAAAAACTATAATAATCTTATTTATGTGTTAAATTATGACCAGCCGTGCCTGAGAAGAATATTGTGAAGAAGAGGACCTTAGATTTGAAGTTTTGAGAGACTATGAAAGGCTTATGAAAAAAAAAAACGTTTTATATTTATCAGACTTTAATTATGTCAGTTTTGGATAATTAATAATGGAGGAGCATGTGTGATTTACATCTTATTTAAATATTTTGTTTGAGTTTGCTTTATGTCAAATTTGTTTTTTAAGTTTCCTTTTTTTAAAATAACTTTTATCTCGTAGTGTAAAAGAATCCTTATTGACAGAGTCTTGTTCTTTTTTTTATTTAAACAACAGGATTTTAAGAAGTCTGTCCTTTGTAGATAATTGTGCTAATGTTATTTAGTTAGCTTAGTTGCAGCTTTACAGATATTTATTTGTTGGAATCCATGAGGGTTCAAGGAAGAAATTTACGAGAACTCTTAAGATGTGTAATATAATCTCTCGCCTCATTGTTTCAGCCTGACTTTGCTTTATCCAGCAGTATGTTTTTGTCTTCAGCCTCTTCCTTGAAAATCACTAAATTCCACAGAAATGGAAGCACATGTTTGCTTATGCTGGACCCACTTCCCGAGAATAATAAAACATGCAAACTGGTCAATGACATAGATGAACAGCTAACTATCATGTTCAAGTTTGTTGGTGACGATATTAAACAGAGCATAATACACCGCAAAAACTTTAGTCACCTGAAGCTTAAGGACTAAGTTATTCGGCTTATGGCTTATTCCAAGGCTACATACACTTTCACCTTTTTATATATCTTTTTTTATAGAACTGATATTTGTGGCATCTTAATGTCCTTGCGGAAGAGGGCACAAGGTCACAACACAACAAGACGTTGTTTCTAAACCACTGAAATATTTTTGCTTTGTATGTAGCTTCTTTTTAACTTCAGTTAGGCGGTGTAGGTGGATAAGGGATGCGCTATAAAAAAAGTCTTCAGTCCTGGCCCACACATTTCCACAACGGACCGCCACGTTAACTCCTTATGGTCACTCATCTCTCCAAGTTCTTAATTGATTTGTAATGTGTTCAGCAACTTGGGGCAGAAGAGAGTTAAGTGATGCATTAGTTATTAACAATCCAGTGAGATGGTAACTGACCCAGTTTAGTGGTTTCTTTCAATAAAACACTGAACAGCAAAGAACAGCAACCTCACTGGCTTCAAATAACATGCAGTTGTCCATTTATTCTCCTTTCGCTCAGGCTCTTGACTGATTTCTTTTCTTTATTAGCTTTGCAGGTCTTGGCTGATGTTTTGAATCGTTATTTAAATTAACGTTGTTTTTTTTTTAATGTAAACTTGATTTATTTTGTGTCCGTCTTAAAATCCTAGATGCAGGCACGCATGTTTGTGTGCATTTTAATTCCTTGGGTATGTTTTGCTTCCAATGTACAGTAGCTCTCCTTTTAAAGGAAAAAATGATAGAAAATAAAGTCTGACAGTCATTTAGTCTGGGGAGCGAAGTTTGCTCATGGCAGATTTAACTCACTTTGATTACTTTCGTGTCTGTTTCTACCCTGTTCTGTCTTTGAAGGAGATATTTCAGTGACCGTACACTCAGCTCGGTTATTATGGGCACTAAACCTAGAGAGATGCAACAGAAACCACAAGCCCACTAAACCAGAGGAGAGAAAGGAACAACAAAAGGGGCAACGAGATTTGTAAATAATTATTACTGTACGGGGTCAAACAAAAATAGAAGCTGAGAAAAAAAAACAAATGATCCTGTATGTTTTTTTAATGCCATTAACAGACGTACGGTGCTGAGTTGAGTAAAAGGCTTTAATAGCAGATCCCAGAAGTCGTCTGCTGTGGATTTTTTTGATTCTGGTGGAAGGAAATGCGTTGCAGCCCCCAGACCTCGCCCCTGTTTCACTGCTGCGCTCAACGCTTGCTTCAGTCCCGACCGGGGTCCCACACACAGAGCAGGGGTGGCACAAGACCACCCAGTTTTTTTTTTTTTAGAAAAGCCACCCTGTTTTAGACATATATAGACAATATCACAATACCACCCATAAACCCACCCACCCCCACAACAGGAAAAAACTTTGAACTTTGAAGTTAAAATACTGTAAGGGGGATGCCCCTCAAAAAGAAACCTGCCCGGACCCCCTCTCACACACACTTTTTATGTGGGAAAGCTCTTGAGTTTCTTAATTTCACCCCCGCTTTGAAGATAAACCTGTATGATCCCTGTTAAAAATGAGTGAATTTACAGGGTAATTTCCTACATTTCCTATTTAACACAGCAATCAAGCAATAGCTTTAATTGGCCATGTTTCCCACAGTTTACACCCTGAGTGACCAACATCTTTGCACCCCTGATTCCTCTGTGCTCTTACCCTGGTGAGACACAGTAAAACCTTCATACGCAGTGGTGGAATTCTGCCATTCTGGAGTCCAGGACACTTCACCTGCTCACCTGTTTAGAAATAACAAGTTTTTCTAAATAACAGATTAAACCCACCCTCCCAAAACGCCCACATGTTTCAAACACAGCAATTTTCAGCACCTGCACAGAACTAGGGTCTCTGCTCCTTTTAGGTATAAGATCATATCTGATTGCAAACTTCCACTGGAAAAGGCATGCAGGGGGAAAAGAGGAGGTTAGGCAAACCGGTGTGTGGGCGATACACAAGAAGGTGTTAAAAGGGAGGCTCAAATAACTAGTTGGATCAGACGACAACAAAAAAAAAAAACTATATGCTTGCAGATCACACAACCACAGCCAAAGGATTGTCACAGTGCTGCGGGGAGGCAGTGTGTGCCGAATGGGCACGCAATGGTAAGTCCGTGGGGGGTGAGAGAGCTGGGGAGCAGGCAGGAAGAAGGCAGCACGGCTCACCCCCAGGCCCCCCACATGGAGGGCACGCTGTGGCAGAGCGACACTGAGGCTTCTGCACAGCAAACCACCGCCATATCAACCAGCACGGGAGGAAACACAGAGTTCCTAACCTCCCCCCCCCCCCCCCCAAAAAAAAGGGTTCAGTTTGTGATTTAGCAGGAATACACAGGACACACACAGAGATACGGCTTGTGGACAGGGATCAGTCCACCGCGAGTCCTACGAATATCACGATGTGTAGCATTAGCTCACAGAGCTGCATCTGAAGTTCAGCACACGAGGGCTGAGGGCTGGGGAAGACTCCATGAATTGGAAAGCTGCCTGGCAAAACATTTCTAGACTTAAGAAGCAAGTCGGGATCAAATGCCCACACTAAAGGGCCCACCATGAATAGAAGCTGTTTGGACAGAAAACATCATCTTAAACCAAATATTTGTTCTCCTCTCAAGGCCCCAGACCCTCAGCAGTGTACCAGCACACTTAAAGAGTGGTGTCTGATTCCCTCAGCCACTCCTGCTCTCCTTCTCTCTCGTTACTGACCAAGGCCCTTAATTATAGTCTCTTGCAAAAACAAAGGAGCTCTCTGATGCAATCGCCCAGCGGCCACAATAACGTCTTTCAAGCAGATGCACTGAAGTTGCATGCGGGACAATTATTCTGTAGTCGGAGGCCATCACGTCCTGCCAGCATTTCAATGGGGAGACCCCCGCGTTCGTGAGATTGTCTCGTTCGTTGGTCTCATCCATGTGGGGCTGATTGGAGAACATTTCGATTTCAGCCCCGTTAAAAACAGTAACAAATAAAGAAAGAAAGAATAAGCCAGCAGTACAGCTACTTGCCCGAGCCGACCTCAAGCTGTATAATCCATGTGGGTTAGAGCCCGGGCCACGTCACTACCCGACTGGGACCGGGGTTCCATCCTCAATGGCACACAATGGGCTGAATGACCCCCAGAACAGGGTGGGACTGGCCAGCCAGGCCTCTCTTGGCGACACTGTGACCCCGGCGACCTCCTGCGCACTTGCAGGGCTTGTCAGGGAGGTGCACGCCTCTCCTCCAATTTGCGCTGAGCCTCCGATGTAACAGCTGTTGTGCAAGAGCTCTGTGCCTCTCGGCCCTGCTAGGAAGCAGCTGTTTGAAACCAAACTGTAAAACACAGCACATGGATTTGACTAATATTGGCGGGCAAGAAAGTCCTAAATAATAAGCAGGAACAATGCCGTCCCCCTGTAACAACACAGATAGTAACATGCATACAGATATGAATCCCATATGTGCCTGTGCATTGTTCCATTGTGCCCTCCCTGGACAAACTCCCAGAGTTTATTACTTTCTTTCCATGCTCAATTAACCCGTAGGGAGATCAAAGGGGCGGCAGTAACCACAGTGTCTCACTGGCGTGAGCACGCCGATGAGAGCGTCACATGCCAGCGGTCAGCTGACGTGAAGCTCTGACCAATGGGGGGGTGAGATTCACGCTGGATTTGGGATCATGGGAGGGAAAACAAAAAGGTCAGCAGAGGTGAGACCGACGCAAAGGATCAGCTCGACTGCAGGGCTTGATTACAGGGCACGGCTTCTGAAGAAGCAGCCAGAGAGCCAGTCAATCCCAGGGGACAGCTCTGCTACTGGAACTCCAGCCCAGAACACCGCCCCCAGGAAAAAGCTTCCTGCTCAGGGTAACGCTGTGTGCAAGTGCGTGGTGCAACACCTCGAGCTACAGGCCTCCTAAAGTCTCCTGTGTGCCTCAGTAAAATATCGCAGACACCCACAGAGACGCAGGAGAGAGGTCAGTCACGTGCCTTAAACTAGTTATTGCACTAGACGTCTGAGCTGCAGTGATTTGAGATGAATAAGCTTCCAGTCAACAATATTCGGTGCACTTAACAGAAGAATGAATAACACTGCTGGAGACGGAGGCTGCCAATGTCGCAATCTGAGAAGAAACAACATTTCGGGTCACATTCCGAGAACATTTGCCATGTACCTCCAGACGCACCAGTCTTGTGTCTTTTTGTTTCCCCTAACAAGGAAAAAAAGACAACGAACTTGCAAAAGCGGCTCATCAGCCTTGCAGGAGGCCTGTCTGGGAAACTCCACAGACGTGTCCAATGTCGCCTTTTCGTTTAGTTACATGAGTTGTTTGTTTTTCTCTTTTTTTTTTTCCACCAAAAGTGCGGTGAACTCAGTGTGGTGGAAAGTGCTTGAAGAGCACAGCCCTTTGTCTGTCCTCCGAATGCGGCAGCGATTCTGGCGAACTGCGCGCCTGATTCGGCGTCGAGACAAATGTCTGCTGGGGCTTTAATTAAAGGACAGCTGCTACTGCACCAGACAGGAGATCTAAACCAAGGGCACAGCGTTAAAGAAGACGGTTTGGCTCGACTTTTCGTGATCGAAGGGTGTGCAATCAAAGCAACAGCGCCGGCCCTGAACGCCGTGCACTGACGCAAGACTTAGCCACAGAACCGGAAGTTACACGAGGGGTCAGAGGGGGCCGCATTGCAGACGGGTGGGTCCTCCAGCTGCGCAGTTTGCGCATGTCGCTGCACCATTTACTGCTACACACTGCTTTCACCTGCACGCGCACCGAGAACACAGAGCATGCTTGCACATTTTTCACCAAACAGAAAGTTTCTGTTCTGACCCAGGAGGGTCGTTTTTAAGTTTCAGCACCTTGGTCGGGTGGTTCACCCGCTTTGAGATCCATCAAGCTCCGACACGTTGATGAAAAAATAAATGAATACCATGCCTAACGTCTAATGTCCTAAATCATTAAATATTTGTTATCGATACATTTCATCATCATGTGACCCACAAAAGCAAAGACTGAAGGTTTAAGACACTAAGTTGAGAAGCACTTAAAAGAGTTCTGACAGCACTGGCTTTCGTGGGGTGGCAGAATTGCTGACTTGAAGTGAAATCAAATTCGGCAGAGGCTCAGGATAGACATATACATTCCATTCAACGGCATCCCACCCTGTTCTGCTCCATTCCAATGAACTCCATTCCACAGCTCGGCTCTCACAGCATCCCACAATAAGATGACTTCACTTACTTTGCTACACAGAATAACTTATTTCCTGCGACTTCTGTTATCAGCTGCAGGCTGTCTTGGTTAAAGGGCTGCAGCCAAATGGACAGGCCGCAACTTTTCAGTGAACGAATGGTCAGGATTGTTGAAATACACATCGGAAATCTGCAAGTGGGAAGAATGAAGTCCTGAAACAGAATGCCCAGGTCCAGATTTTCCCATCTGTGGAATGCATTAGCAAGACGAAGGGCGGTGTTGGTCTCTAAGCTGTGACACGGGGAGGATCTGAGCGCACATTACTCCCAGTTTAATCCCAAACATCTCAAATTCCTGGCTCCAGAGAATCCGGCCCCCCAGTCAGGAGGAACAGGCCCCCTTCGGAACTTAGGCAGCGCGCTTTCCAATTTAAGGCCGAAGCCTTGGCTAATGAGCTGTAGTTGAGGTTAATTTACAAACTCCCAGGCAGACGCTGTCATCAGGGATGACGGTTTATGGCGGTCTATATTGGGAGTGTGGTTTAGTCGCTACAATCAGGAGGAAGCTGGGGACGGGCGGGCCAGGGTGGGTTTGGTG